TGACAAGAAGACGAGGAAGAAGACGTAAGAAGATGCTGGATGACCTTGGGGACAGAAGAGGATACTGTCATTTGAAGGAGAAAGCTCTAGATCGCATTAAGTGGAGGAATTGTTTTGGAAGAGACTGTGGACCTGTCGTCTTGACAGATTACTGATGATGATGAAGTAAGGTTAGGTTAGGCTATGTTACACATGTACTTATATGCCTTTTGTCATGTTTTGTTTTGGGTTACATAAGTGTGGTTAGGATAAGTTAGATAACACATGTACATATGTCCTTTGACGCGTTATAGCCGGTTATGTTGTTATGTTATGTTAGGGTAGGTTATGGTAGGGTTTGTTTGGCTCGTAGGTTTGTTCAGGTTAAGTTAGCTTACGTTATATGTATATATACCTGCTTCGACAAGTTAGGTTAGTTACGTTTCGCCAGGTTTGGTTAGTTTAGGACACCTTAGGACATTGGTTATTAAACTGTGGAGCGCGACCCCCAAGGGGGGCGCAGCATACTTTCCTACAGATAAAAATTAAAACTGCCCTAAATCAATTAGAAAAGTAACAACAAATAAAAATACATATAGAAAAACGTTTGGTGAGTACAGGCTTTAATTATCATGAATTTCAAAATAACTAATAATTATTCTCTTTACCGGCAATTATAAAACCCGTATGCCAGAGACAGCGTTGATAGTTCGGCAGCAGCCGCATCCTCTGAAGTCCTCTGAAGTCTAGACATTTTAAAATGCTGTGTGAGGAAATGGGTCCCGAACACACTGCTCTGTTGTTTTTTAGTGATGCTCGATGGCTTTCAAGAGGCAAGGTAAAATTAGAGCTCTGGAGAAACAGTATGGAAAGTGACACGCTAGACATGTTCCCTACTCTGGTGTCAATGGTACAAGACGCTGATAATCCAGTGCTTCCAATGGACATAAAAAGCTGCCTACTTGATCATCTCATAATGTTGAAAGTTCATTTCGAAAAATACTTTTGTAATGATTTTGATAAATTTCATTGGATTAAAATGCTTTCGAAAATGCTCCTGGGCCATCACCTCTGAAGGTAAACGAGCAAGAACAACTCATCGATCTCACTAGTGATACTTCATTAAAAAGTAAATTTAAGAAATTGTCTTTGTTGGAGTTCTGGATACATATTGGCAAGGAATTCCCAACTTTGAGCCAAAAAGCATTGAAGATCCTGATTCCTTTCGCAACAACTTACTTATGCAAGACCGACTTTTCTGCTTTGGCAGCTATAATGTCAAAGTATTGCTAAAGAAGTTAGAGTGGCCATTTCTGATATTACAGCACGTTTTGATAAACTTTGTTCTCAAAAGCAGGCCCATCCATAACCCTGAACTTTGACATTTAAATGTTTGATTTTCTTTGCAGAAAAAAATAAACACTTGTTAGTTAAATATCGTTTCATTTCAATACACATTTTGGTTAATTGCAAGTGATAAAACTAATTTATATTGTAAGCCTAATATTGTGATACTTTAATTTTGAGTAAAAAAAAACTGCTAAATAGTGTGTAGAAAAACATAAATTAAACTTAATAAAACGTCAAACATACCATGACTTCTATTTTGATTAAAAACAGGCTGGGGGCCTGAGAGTATTTTCTCTTGTCAGCGGGGGCTCAGAGGTAAAAAGTTTGAGAACCATTGCATTAGGATACAGATGAATATATACGCCCTTATACTAAATTAATCAAATAGAACTCAGGACGGAAAGGGGTTGACAAAGGAAGTCTGTACGTATTTTTTATAACATATCCTTGAACCTATAAAGCAAAAGCTCTGTGTAATTCACTCGTACAGAATTTTTATTCAGTTGCATGTAACTTTGTTGCCTAAGTATTGATTTGAGTTAACAGCATGGATAACAAAGCTCAGTACTGCTCAGTAAACAATGCACAGTGGATTCGTGCCGGGACATCAGTGCAAGAAGCGCGTATCGATATGCAGCAGGCTGTGTTCCAGTGGTAACCACGTCCAGCTTCATGCTCATACCGCAGTAGCTACAAACAATCGACAGCCTACACCAGACAGCCTGTAGATTATGGAAATAAAATGGAAACGTATACAGTTAGCTATTCTGAATGGATAGCAAACAGAGAATTTCTTTTAAAAATTATTGTAAAATTCAGAGTTAGGTCGCTGGCATGAAAGAACTGGTTACAGTTCACGCTAATATCCATTAAAATTTAACTTCGTTTTATGGTCCATTTAACTGCGCTACTTACTCCAAATCCTTTTCATTCATCAGTCATCATAAAATCCGACGACATACAGTCAGTGTCGTAAAACAGTCCACAAGCAATATTCTAGATCATCAACGTACTAGAACACTCGAGTTCCAACTTAGCAGTGTACTTCCTCTACACCAGCTGCAACGTGTACGAACATCGCCACTCCACTGTTTGTAACAGCGACATACACCACGTAAAGGTCAGGCTCACGATGAGGTGGAACAGAATTTCATATTACGCAGAAGTGCCCGTTGCACTCACGGGATCCGATTTTTTTTTTTACTCCAATAATTATACAATCTATCCATTAAGTGTGGATAATAAGTACATTTTGTGGTTTACATATAGAAAAGGAAAGAGAATACTTGACGTGGTGAGTATGTTCCAATGAACATGCTCAATACTTATTTTAACTGCTTAGTGATATGCAGTTAAGTGTTGAATTATTCGAATCTGGTGGGTAAATCTGATGGTTTAGATCTGTTTAGCCTCCTGATTTCCCCTTCGTCGTCGAGCAGTTTTTGTGCCAAGTCGTTCGGATGGGCCTGGAGTCTGATTTTATACTTTTTGCTGTTTTTTTTATTTCCTCTCGTACTGTTGGTACATCTAGGTCCTTGTGTAGTACCGTGTTCGGCACATACCACGGTGCGTTA